AATTCTGCTAGTTATCAAGTAACAGACTTGAAACATTTTGAAAGAACAATAAGCACAGTATTACTGTAAAATCAAACCAGTTATATACTGAACAAACTATCATTTTCAATCCAAATTGAGTTAAAATATACAGGCATACGATATTTCTCGTCAAACCGCTGATTTTTTTTAAATAGATCATTTATTTATTATCACTTAATTCCAAATGAGTTGTCGTGCATTGCAAATCATAACAGTAACAACTGACGTATGAATTAAGAAAATACGTTTTACAAGTGCAACTGAATAGAAGGACATTGACCCTAAATAAATCTCTCAGATGGGAATCCAGAAATTCAAGATATGGAAATCAACTATCATGTATTTTATTCAAAGGAATGAAATGAGCAATAACTAAATCAATGAATACCAAGGATCAATCAGTAAATACAGGACATTAAGGGGGAAAAGTAAACTATAAACTTTAAAACATTCATTAACTTTTCAATATATATATTTTCTTTCAATTGCTGGAATAAGCGTATGTTTGAGTGTACAGCAACACAAATTGAAGGCGGGGGGGGGGGGGGGGGGATCTACGTCAAATTTAATGTATGAAAATTACACCAAAAAGTGTATTCTCAGAAAGGGGGCACCCCTGGCCCACCGAATACTGCGGGTCCAAAATTAATATTGTTATTCAAAATTAAATGCATATAACACATCTAACAAGACAGTTTTATTTTTTCATACATAATTAAACAAAAAGAGGGAGTACATGTAAATCAAAGAAATAAGAAATAATAATTTTTTTTTATAATCAGTAAGAAAAGATCGCTGTAAAACGCCATGATATTTCGCTAATAAACGCCACTAAAAAAAGTTCATAAATTGCTTATCTGCTGAAAGGTTTTGGAGTTTTATGTTTTCCTTATGAAATATTTTTAAATAAATAATTCTACTATACATTGATCATAGGAGCTTTATAAAATATCATTGGGGCATAGATAAAAAATTATTTAATTTTTAAAAATCAAATAAACCCTCTTTTAAATTAAAAAAAAAATCAATTTCACACATCTGCAGTCTCCCCGAGAGCGAGAACAAGTTGTCTAAGTTTTTCAGCAGGGACAGTAAACGGGTCAGTAATTGTCTAAGTTTATCAGCACCGACTAAGATTGTCAGCACTTTTCTAAGTTTATCAGCACCGGCAGTAAAAAGGTCAGTAATTGTCTAAGTTTTGCAGTAAAGACAGCACATGGTCAGTAAATGTCTAAGTTTATCAGTAAAAAATGGGAATGTCAGTACGTTTCTGACTTAGTAGTGTTGGTTCAGCATGGTGCTTTAAAACTGTAATTGTTTTCTGGCTAATTAACATTTGAGTAACAATAGCAGGAATTTTATCGAAGAGGTTTAAGAAAAGAGGGAAATTAGATTTACAGAGTGTTAACAAATCATGACAGAAGTAGATTTAACATTTTACCGATCGTTTCAGATCTCGGGTTAGTGATGTTAGAATATCTGCAGAGTGCTCCAGGTCAATGGATGATGCAAGTTGAAAATTTCACTGGTATTTATCTAATGATATATCATATCAAAAGTTCCTCAATAATTTCAGAGCATCCCTCGTATATAAGTAACATGAATGAGTAAAGCCACGAAAAGTTTAATATTTTTTTTTCAAGATTTCTCAATTTTTTCCTATGCCTGTGCCTATGAAGTGAAAAAAAAATTGTATATGTTTATAACAAAACAACAGAAAGTGAGAATTTTGAAGATCATAGACAATTTATACATTTTTTAAAACTCTTTAGGAATTTGTTATTTGCATCATTTACAATTAAAATTAATCAAAAATGTATATCTGTGCATCCATTGTTTTGGTAGCAAGTTTGTAGCAGGGTCCTATAATCTATTAGATCTATTGGAAAACCAGACAATGGATTTTGATTTTTTGCTCTAGACTACTTTAATTAAGAAGTTGTTTTCAAATGGGGGCATCGAAAATCAAATTGCATTCCTCTAGTTTTGTTTTTTTTAGTAATTGCTCATTCGACATGACTTATTAAACGACCCTCTATACACTAATGAAAACTGTTTTTAGACTTTGAAAATATTATTTAGCAAAAGGAGTACATTTTAAAATTATTTAATTGATTTTTAATATAGGGTTCAAGCCTTTTTTTTATCCAGGAAAAATCTTCAAACACAGTAAAGTATTAATAAAAAAAAAGTCACGTTTGCTTACTCAAATGGGCAAAATACATAAAAATGTACGGTAGTTTTCAATTACTCGGTCTAATATAATGTTAAGAATTCTTGAATAATTGCAAATTATGTGAAACACTGCATATTGCAATTTATTCTATTTTTAATCAAATGATTGATCAGTCTAAATATACAAAAGTAACCTGAAGTTAGTGTGAAGTGTAGAGAGGGTAATGAAATGGGGGTGGGGGGGTGATTTTCGTTTTGAAATGTTTTTTGATGTTTTGTAATGGTATTTTTAATATAATTCTTATGTATGCTTTAAACAACCGTAATTGACACCAAAAACAACAAATCACATCAGTTTTGATGTTAGCAATTGTATTTGACTTCTCTTGGAAAAAAGATCATTACAACTTATGATTTTCAACCTACATTTGCTTAGATTGGATCCAAACAACTTAAAACAGACCAATATGACAAAAGTTTTACAAAAGTATTTTCGGTCATTGATGAAAAAAGCCTTTGATGGAAATGTCTTCTTTATATCTTACACACTTCCATATTTCCTATAAACACTTTATAAAACAGAAAAAAAATATCTATCAGTGATTAAAATTGGAAGAAAATTAAAATGTTAAAACCACGACAAAAGATGAGATTTGTTAAGAATACATTCCAGGATTGACAATGAACAAATAGTTCAGACATGTCTGTTCGGAAATGTACGCACATTTGAATAACATTCATGTAAAAATTAAATGAGAAGAAGATTTCTTCCAGAAAATTTTAAAGCTGCAACATGCACTTAACTAAAGTATTGATGTAGTTTAAAGCTATCCAACAGTTTAAAATAGCATATCATTTCATTTTGTGGTAATTTGAAGAACATGTATTTTTGAGTGATGTCATAATAAGCATTTCCCGTAAAAATTAGGCCCCGCCTCCTTATTTTAGCCTTAACTGTGCTGCAAAATACTTCGATGAAGAGATTTAACCTTGAAGTTGTTTAAACCCATAATCGGCGATGTATAACCCCGTCAGATAATCAATATATACCGTATCTTGGTCTATGACGTAAGTTCTCTCGAGACTTCTTTTCTTAAAATACAGGAAACCAGGAAGGTAGAAAATCTGCAGATCAGCTTTTGTTTTATTTTCAGAGGGGTACGCTATAACAATTTCAACATTTGATTGGTAAGAAATATGTTGATAGTTTTGATTTTGGATTTTATATAAACAAATTGAAAAGACGGCTATTCAATTATTTAACGGGATGCATTTCACCTGGTTCTTTTCTTAAAATAGCCGTATTGAATTTGAAACTATTCCTCCTAGCCCCCCCCCCTTTTTTTAAAGATTTTCTTGTAATCTATCTGTGATTAATCAAATTTTTTTCCCTTTAACGCTATAGGTCAAATACGACCAGATATATTCATTGCATATGAAGAAATGGTTACATTTCGCTAATTTGCATAGCGGCCATTTCATATTCAAAATGGCAGATTTCTTTTCAATGTATTATATTTGGAAAATAAAGGGTAAAAAGAAATAGAGTTAAAAATATCAGTCTTCATTGTATTATCTTTGTGTCTGGATCGGAATGCACTTTTGTATAAAAATGCCGAAATTGGAAGCAAGACTCATACAATGAGGTGAAAAAGCTGGAAACAGTTTTATCAAGTAAATTTAGACATATTTGCAATTTTCTTAAAAAGTTCTTCTTTATCGTATGTAATTGGGTGTAAGTTGTACCCGTAAATATTCACAACTTGTGATTGATCATCAAACAAAATTACGTTGTTCAAAATTACTATGATTCTACACATATTTACTCTGATGTTGATGTTAAATGAATGCTAGAGTTCTTCATTGAGAATATTTAGATGTAGTCTTCGGGGACCAGGTCTTCTACCAAACTATAATTCCATGTGGTAGTTATTTTGATCCTTTGTTAGCCGACCTGTTTGCCTGAGTGTGACATTAAAGTCTACTTTCAGATATATTGATTAACAAAGGTTTCTTTCCATTCTTATGTCGACCCGTTATATCCCAATTAAATCAAAATAAAAGACACCACAGAGTCTGCCACGTCTGATTGATTGTATATTGTTTAACGTCCCATTTGAGAATTTTTCACTCACATAGAGACGTCACCATATACCGGTGAAGGGCTTCAAATTTTGACCTTTACTCGGCACTCAGGGCCATTGAGCAGTGAGGGATCTTTATCGTGCCAACGCCTGCCGTGACACGGGGCCTCGGTTTTTAAGGTCTCATCCGATGGACCCACAACTTTCACTTCAAAGTGCCGAGCGCATGGCGAAGCAACAGTTGCTACCTATTTTTTTATCGACTTAGGTCTGTCGCGGCCGAGATTCGAACTCACGACCTCCCGATCACGGAGCGAGCGCTCTACCGACTGAGCTACCGTGAACGGTCTGCCACGTCTGTATGCTCTACCAAGCCCCTATCTTTATACTTTAGAAAAATATTTACTGCTTTGGTTTTATTGCTGTTAAGGAGACACTTTAGACATACTGTTTTATAGAGCATGATCTGGTAGTGTAAATGAAATGTGGATTCTCAAAACGTAAAGGAACTTTAAGAAAATTTAAAATCGCCTTTTTTCAAAATTGTTCCTCTGGAAAACAATAGTGCTAATGTTACACAGGTGAGATTTGTGACCCTTGGGCCTTTTGTTATCTGTGAGTCTCATATGTTTGTTATTTTGTAAGCAGTGTTTTTCATGTTTGGTTCATGGGTTGAGTTATATTGTAGGTGATACACTGTTGTAAAGATACAAACCAACCATGTCAGACAGATCTAGAGGGTCATTACAGCAAGATACTGGTACAGAAGATGTAGATTCTACACGGTCGGATTCTAGCACCAACTCATCCGAAAACGAGTCGGAGGATTTACGATCAGCAAACTCTGAGAACGAGATCGGTGTGTATATTTTTTAAGACAAAAATGAATAATTCCTCATGATGCCGTAAATTCTTACAAAAAATTCAGTAAATTTATCATTTTTCTAAATATTGTACTCAAACGCATTATAATGATGTTTGAAAAAGAATAATCTGAAAATAAACTGACATTCTAGTATCATGATTACATTTGAGATTTACAATTTACAGGGTTTAATGAATTCAAATTTTTGGCTTTGTTTTTTTTTTTATAAAATAAATTACAATATTCATTTCACATTTTTCTACAATTTTCCATAAATTACTCCATGAATGAAAAAGACACTCTAAATTTTGTTCTTGTTTATACTGCAGAGGATGGGTCATTTGTTTCCAAAGAGGAGGACAACTGTCTTCGGTATTTCCTGGGTATTGGTATCGCAGAAAAGGCAGTGAGAATGTGGTTTGATACTATTATTCCACCTGGTCAACTAGAAAATCATTTAAAAAGGCATGAAAAGAAACTGAGAAAGACTTGCAACGATGAACAGATATCGAATTTATTTCCAGGTGAGAATTTGAATGTGCCAAAGAACAGATACATGTAACATTAAGGGCAGCTTGCTTCTTTCTCAATAAGTTTTAGCAATGTAGTGTTTCAACACCTGTAGTTTTGTATGTTTAACATCGAGCATTGAAAACATGTAGGGAATGTTAAAATTTAGTACTTTTTTTTTTTTTTTTTACTTTTTTCTAATTTTTCCTTTTACAAATAATACAAACTGTGACAAACCAGTGTCCTTAATTATGTCCAAAGAGAAGTCACATTTAGCCAGTTTTGTACTATTCTTCTAGAAATAAAAGCAACTTAATATTCTCGTGTGATAAACACCATTTAAGATCTTTTTTAATTTAAAAAAAATGTTTGCAAGCAGATTTTCTAACCATATAAACTCTAATTTCTATACACGTTAAGAGACGAGGAAGGGAAGCTGCTTTATCTTTGCTAATCACCCTCTGCTTTACAGGATATGGAACAGTAACATCAACAAGTTTTGACATATCATTGCTATACAAAATAATAAGAAACACTACAAAGGTTAGAAAACCGAGAAAAGATTGGGGAGGAACTCCAGACGCCACAGATATCGAACAGGTTGACGATCTGGAACGAGTCCGAATCTGTCGTAATTCACTTTGCCATGGTCCTCAGTCTATTAGCGACAATGAATTTGAAAAGAAGTGGAAAGAATTGAAGGAGGTAAAGTCATGTTTTTCTTGTCAGCCTAATATTAGAAAAGTACAAAGCTCATAATGTTTTTCGAACATTTCATTGGAATTTCTCTGCTCTCTCAAATTCTATCATAAAGTTGAACTTTATATAATACAATTCTGAGTAATAATTTTAGTGATTTGATTTTCAGGAAGAATGACTTCTGCTCACTACAAAGAAAATTTTCTATAAACAATGTGAATTTTCTACCGGAGGATGCAAATGAAAATGAAATTAAAAAAAACTGTGCATGATGTATGAAACCAAATTGTAGACAAAATATTGTAGAAGAAATTTCAAATTAACATATTTTTAAAATCTTAGTGATAATTCTTATAGTAGAGATTCTTTCCACGTAATGTAAAGAAGTCTCACTGTCAAAATGAAAACCATATTTTAAATTCTGTAACTTACACTTTGAAAAAAAAAAACCACATCATATATAAACTTCTGAGATCTCCACTTTGAAAATACATCACGTTGTATATAAACCTTCAACCTTGTAATCTACACTGTGAATAAAACTACACCGCATTGAATTTAAACTTCCCTGATCTACACTGTAAAAACACCACATTGTATCTAAATTTCTGTGATTTAAAATGTCCTTATCTGTATATATACATGTATAAACGTCTGTAATCTATACTGCGAAAATACAGCACACTGCATTTAAACTTCTGTGATCTATACTATGAAAATATACCTTATTTAAATGTTAAATACATACATTTTTCATTCTCTTGAAATTTTGTTAACAGACATAAAAATCAAAGTTCAAAAGAGACTGACAAAGAAATATACATCTTGTAAAAAAAAGATTATTTTAAGAAACTCACGGAACCCTATTTATTTATTTTCCGAGCAGTATTTATGATGCATGGAACCTTATGACGGTACATTTTGTTTTGTAAATATCGTCGCCCCACAGATATTGTACATACATCCAACAGATATTGTTGTTCAAAGATTTTTTGGTTGTTTTTGGGGTAGTTTTGTGAATATAATTGATGTGTAAGTCACACAGACGTTTGTCGTATGCTATTTCTTGTATCGTGATTGTGACGGTACATTTTGTCGTTATGTTCGTATTGTCGCCAGCGACAATGTGTACCTACCCTCACTGCTCACATTGTCATCCATCAGTACATGTCGCTTGACAATGCATGGCAATTCGTCCATATGAATTTGACTAATTATTGCTGTGCTGTTTTTGAGAAGGAAATTTTGTAAGAGTTTTCCTATACATGTATATTCCTGTGTAAAACTTTGACCCTCCATTATGGTCCCACCCTAGGCCATGATCTGAATTTACACTACCCGAGGATGCGTCCATATAGATATCACTAATTACCGTCCTACTGCTGTTCTCAGTGGTGGTGGTGAATCCAGAAATTTCAGAACGAGTGGAGGTGCGGTTCAGAATTTTTGTTTTTTGAAAAGCAATCGTGTGTCGACGGCGACAACGTACCTACCCTCGTTGCACATATTGTCCTCCATCAATACATATTGTTGCCGGCGACAATATATACAGAACAAAAATATGTACAGTCACGTACACAAACCTAGATTTCTATTGATTGTAAAGAACATTCCAACAATTGTTCATTACACATTGAGTTTTTAACTTTGGGGCTTTTAGGTTTTTAGTGTTAAAGCCGGAAACTACGTTGACACCAAATTAAAGAAAGGCAGTAATATAATTATTTGATTTTAAGATCATACAAAGACTTGCTGGAGGTCAACTAGATGGAGAGATGGATTCCCTACAAAACAAAGATCTAGATCACTCAGCACGGTCCTCTGTTAAACGAAGCCTGGCAGTTTTGACTGAAAGACTTCAAGATGTAGAAAAACGCGTAGAGGATCATATTCCAAAACACATAAGAGGTACATATAGTGTTTGCTTAAACCATAAATATGGTTCAGTATTGTTTTTAAGTTTTTAAATACAAAGAAAAAAGTTTATATTTGTTTCTAATGTGCGTCATTTTGCTTTCAAAGTTGCTGACTCGCGCAATTTTCCCGAAATATTGAACAAAATTCATTACAGTTATTTTTAAAATGCATGAAGTTATGTGTGTTTGTGTGTGTTTTTTTAACAATTCTAAATCGTTGAAATATATAAAAATGCTTACAAAAATCCATTGTCTTCGAATTGAATCCGTCAAAGATATGAAGTAGCTTTCATTTTGCAAACGCTTGTTTCATTTGTAAATAACGCAGAAACTTGTAAAGAACTAAAATTTTGCTTCTCTCTCAGAACAACATCAGAACAAAATACAAAAGTGGAAAGAAGATGACAAGCTTTTTGCGAGAGTTCCTGCTTATCAGTCAGTCCGTGATAAAATCAAATCCTTGCCCTATGTTTCAGTGACTGGCAGTGGTGGTACAGGAAAAACATTTCTCATTCGTCACATTGCTCTGGAGCTTTCACAGGATAGATTTGAGATAATTCCAGTTTCAACAATTGGAGAGATATCCCTTTATGGAAAACTGCATTTCAAGCAATTATTCGTCTTAGATGATGTGCTCGGTGTATATGGTCTAGATATGAGTTTGTATAACAATCTTAGCAGACAGTCCGAAAATCTGTTAAGCTTATTAGAGTCTGGATCAAAACTACTGATTAGTTGCAGGTCTGTTGTGTTCAAGGAATCCAAATCTTTGAATAGCTTTGTTACATATATCAATCATGTCATAAATATGGACGACGAAGAAAATGAGCTTAACGATGAAAACATAAAAACTATGCTAGAAAATCACTGTAAAAATAACCATGTACAGAAAAAATACTTTGAAGACTTAAAGCTACCTAGAAAAATACCAATGTTTCCATTACTGTGTAGATTATTTTCGTCTACACAAAAGTATCAGACTGAGGGTGAACATTTCTTTCTCCATCCATACCAGTGTATATTTTCAGAACTTGATAAAATGCTAGAGCTAAAAAAATTACATTATGCAGGCTTGGTGTACTTTGTCATGAAAGATAATTGTGTCTATCCAAAATCTTTAGACAGGAAATGTCTGACAGAAGTCTATGAATGTTGTAGATTAAACAGGTCAACGTCTAATTCAGAATTTGTACATGCAATGCATGTATTGGAGGGGTCATATCTGATGCAGGACACAGAGGGTAGATACAGTGCAGGGAACTAATTTTGTTACATAAACCAGCATCAGCATAAGCATTAGTAGCATCAGGATCAAGCTAGCATCAGCATCAGCATTTAAAAAACAGCATTACCAGGATCAGCATCAGCAAGCAAAGGATAAAACCAGCATTGACCTACATAAAATCAGCATTATCCTACTAGCATCAGAAAATCAATGAGTTTTAATTCAGTAAAAAATTAAAAAAGAAAGAAAGAATATTGGTTAAAGTATTCACATTAATGATACATAGTGAGATATTATGATCAAATAATTGTAAAAGGCACTTTTATTGCTTTAAACGGCAATGCTGAAATTCATTATCTACTTCCGGTAGCATGATGCTACTTCCGGTAGCATTGACCTAATTATAAAACAGCATCAGCAAAAGGATTACTAGCATTAAATCAGCAAGCAAAGGAAGCATTCAAATCAGCAAGCAAAGGAAGCATTCAAATCAGCATCGATGCTGTAACAAAATTAGTTCCCTGCACTGTATTCTTTTAATCATGACAATTTGTTTGAAATCCTTGCAGTCCACTTTGGAAGTCGTTTTCAAGACTTTTTTATTGAACACTGTACCTCCAGTTCTATTTACTATCTTTTAAAATTCGTTGAGGAGGGATCAACAAGCAGTGAAAATATGATTCCTGTAGTTGTCGATCACTTTCCTGTGTTGGTAGAACGTATCATTTGTGACATAAAACGATTTAATCTCTATGAAGTGTTCAGCAGAATTGGACAATTTTCACAGAACGAAGTATTTGTTTCGGTATTTTGCAAAACTTTGAAAAACTCCAGATATGATGATTTCAAACATTTGTTTTTTGAGATTGAAACTACTGAACGTTTAAATAAAAAGACGAAGAAACTTTTGCTTGAAATAAACCAAAAATTAGACAATGTTTTAGAAAGAAAAACAGAATTAAGACTTTCTCTTTTGAACGAATCTCATGCTAGAGTTGTAAACTGGATAATTGCGTATAACCACGTTGATTTACTCTCTGGTCTCATAGAAATTGTCAGGGAAAAAATTCAACTTGATGAAGGAAAGGTTTGTCTCACTGATAACATCGGTCAGGACATTCTTGGAGTAATATTTGGTAATGATCTAGAATCACAGTCCGTTTGCTTAAGTCTGGCGTGTTCTAGCAGTAGTTTGGATATGGTCAAACTGATATTAAGTTACGTTAAACATGAGTGTATCAATTGCATTGCTGATGATAATTTGTGGTCGTTAGCAGTTGCTTCCTGTTTTGGTTGCACTGATATTGTCAGATTTCTGCTTAGAGAAGGAGCAAACGTCAATTTGCGTGATAAGAGAAATGCTTCATGCCTAATTTATTCTTGTAGCTTTGGTAACTACGACGTGGTAGAGACATTAATCAAAGAGGGAGCTGACGTTAATTTGCTTACGCTCGACGGGATCTCTCCACTTATTTCGGCAATATTTTCAGGAAATGCACATCTTGTGAGGCATCTTATTACAAACGGTGCTGATATCAATCTCTGTGGCGAGGATTGGCCGTCTCCACTCGTTTTTGCATCCTTTATAAGCAATCTAGATGTTCTAAAATGTTTAATTCACAGTGATGCTGATGTGAATATTGATGCCAGGTGTCTAACTGCCGCCTGTCTAAATGGTAATCGTACTGTTGTTGAGTATCTAATCAATAAGGTAGATGTCAATAAAGTTTATGACAATTGTAATCCTGCACTTCATGCTGCTGTCAGTTCAGGCAATCTTGGTATTGTAGAATATTTAGTAGAACATGGGGCTGATGTTAATTTGCTAAGTTCTTCTGATGAGAATCCACTTTACTGCTGCATAATAAATGGACAGTCACACGTAATTAGATACCTTGTAGAACATGGCGCTGATATAAATCAAAATCTTGGTAACATAAAAACGTTTCATATATGCATTGCTTCAGGCGAAGGTTATCTTGAAATTGTGGAAGAGCTTATTAAGCATGGGGCTGATGTCAATCTCTGTGACCTAAATGGAAAATCTCCATTATGCTACGCATCAAATTCTGGTCATCTGGAGACTGTGAAGTATCTGCTACAAAATGATGCTGATATCAATGTTGGTACTAGTTGTCTATCCTCTGCTTGTGAAAGCGGTCATTTAAATGTTGTAGAATTTCTTATTGATAAGATAGATGTTAACAAGGTCAATGACATTTGTTATCCTGCTCTTCATTGTGCTTCTGCTCAAGGTCATCTTGATATTGTAGAATATCTGGTAGAACATGAAGCTGATGTTAATTTAATGAATTCAGCTAATGAGAGTCCACTTTACTCCGCCACAGAGAATGGGCAGTTACACGTAATTCAATACCTTGTAGAGCACGGTGCTGATATCAATCTGGGTATTTCTGGTAACATATTTGCGTCGCCTATGTGCTGTGCTTCAAGCAAAGGTTAACTGGAAATTGTGAGAGAGCTGATCAAACGTGGCGCTGATGTCAATTTATGTGACGATAATGGAGCATCTCCACTGTTTTTGGCGTCAAAATCCGGACATCTGGATATTGTGAAGATTCTGCTACAAAACGATGCCGATATTAATGTTGGTGCTAGTTGCCTATCTTCTGCTTGTAAAAGTGGCCATTTAGATGTTGTAAAATTTCTTATTGATAAGCTGGATGTTAACAAAGTCAATGACATTTGTGATCCTGCTCTTCATTGTGCTTCTGGTCAAGGACATATCGAAATTATTAAATATCTAGTAGAGCATGGAGCAAATGTTAATTTACTAAGTTCTTCAAAGGATAGTCCATTATGTTGTGCTGTAGAGAAAGGACAGCTTCCGGTTGTTGAATATCTTGTAGAACATGGTGCTGACATAAATCAGGCAGTTGAAATTGCAATTGAAGGTGGTCTGGAAGATATTTTAGATTTTATGTTGAAACATTTAAACTAGGAAATACAAAACGTGTAAGATTATCATGAGTATCTATATGTTTGTAGATTTTGGCAAAGGTGATTTATACTTTATGATCGTTTATGTAAATTTTAATGGTTTTCTTATACTATGACTAAGACTTTGGCTTACATGATCGTTATTATTATTTTTATTTATCTGTCATATGAATGAGAGAATATAATAATTTATCATCATATATAAATATATTCATTTTTATATCCTTTTCATGAATATCTATTTCCTTAGTAATGTTTCTGAGAAAGCCTTAAACGTTTACTATCCTTATTTATTAGAAATAATAAAAAAGTAAAGATTGCTTATTCTGATCGCTCTTAAAAATCTTACAAGTAATGCAAATTTGTGAACAGAAAACACGAACCCCTAAAAATTCCAGAGGTGGGATAAGGTGCTTAGGAAGAGGAAGCATTCCCTGTCGATGGTAAAACCAGCCGTGAGTCCTGTAGACAGAATCATCCATAAGACTGTCAGTTCCAAATTCACAGGAACTAACAGGAAGTAATCATAATTCCCATGTTAATCAAATTGCATAGAATATGGATATTTGTAAAGCTAAGGAAATAACCAGTGTCATTTAATGATATCATTTTCACTTCAAGTAGTTGTCACACATTGTCTTCAAGAATGGTGAGAACAGATACTTCAAAATGATAACCATAATCCTTTTAACTCCTGATATAGGTTTATTGATGACATAAGAATAATATATGACTTGATTAAACCACGCCAGTAGTATAAATGTATTCTAATTAACTGAATAAATCCAAAAGGGGTTTAAAATCAATAAACTACCGTCGAATCATTTTAATTCGTGGTGTCAATGTTCGTGGGCAAGCAAAATTTTACTTGTTCATGGGGACATAATTTCGTTGGTCTCTCGTTTATACGGTGGCTTAATGAATCAATATGTTATAATAAGATAAACGTTCGTGGGGATGTAAATGCATGGGTAAGGGTGACCTACGAAATCTACGAACATTGGTCCCCCGCGAACAATGATGATTCCACAGTATAATAAAATGAGATCATTAGTAAATTTGACGTTGTCTTAATATCCAGTGAAATCAATCAGAGAAGACGTATCAAACCATTCGATTCTTATCCAATGATTATACAGATTGAATTCTTAAACTGGGTATGTTCAATTCAGGTTTCTTTGCATGCATGAGACATTGATTCATTTTCTTTTTTTTAGTATATTATCTTGTTATTTGAAAACCAATTAATATTTGATATTTTTAAAGAAAATAATATATTGACTGAAAAAAATGTCTTTTTTCAATAGATAGATTTTTTGAACATTATATAAAACAATTATGAAAAATGTTTTGAAACATTTTTAAATTTGTGTTGTTGTTAATTTTACGATTTTTTCAGCTTTATTGCTATTTTTCATAGAATAAAACGACAAAATTCTTTGCTTGTTTTTCATATCATCAACTTTGAATTTGTTTGAGAACAGTGAGAACTATATTTTGGATTTATTTTGTGGTGTTCATAAAATGTTGATTGTGATTGAAACTGTAACATGGGTTCTGTGGCATCAAGACATTCGATTTTATGTCAGTCAAATTTATCACGTATTTGGCGATTAGATAGTTGATCTCAGTATCTGCAATAAGTTATTTGAACAGGACAAATGCATTTGAGAAAAAAACTATGAAGATGCTTGCAAAATATACTGTTTTCATGTTGTGCAATTTATACTTTTAAGGAGAAATCTTAAAAAATTACCGAAATGAGTTATTGGATCAAAGTTTGGCTTACATGATCAGATAAAATAATTAGTACTGGATCTATGAAGAATTGAGTTTACAAGAGCGGTAACCCACTTAGCTAGCCCGGTCAAAATTGGAAAAATCCCTTATAATACAGTTATAAGAGTACATAGTTCTAGGGGCTGGCTTACACCCTGGATCCCATATTTTGACCTTCATCTTTTTACTGGGGAGGGATCTGGGAGGGACCCCTTGACTTTCAAAAGGAATTGAGTTTACGAGAGCGGTAACCCATTTAGCTAGCCCGGTCAAAATTGGAAAAATCCCGTATAATACAGTTATAAGAGTACATAGTTCTAGGGGCTGGCTTACACCCTGGATCCCATATTTTGACCTTCATCTTTTTACTGGGGAGGGGTCTGGGAGGGACCCCTTGACTTTCAAAAGGAATTGAGTTTACAAGAGCGGTAACCCACTTAGCTAGCCCGGTCAAAATTGGAAAAATCCCTTATAATACAGTTATAAGAGTACATAGTTCTAGGGGCTGGCTAACACCCTGGATCCCATATTTTGACCTTCATCTTTTTACTGGGGAGGGGTCTGGGAGGGACCCCTTGACTTTCAAAAGGAATTGAGTTTACAAGAGCGGTAACCCACTTAGCTAGCCCGGTCAAAATTGGAAAAATCCCTTATAATACAGTTATAAGAGTACATAGTTCTAGGGGCTGGCTAACACCCTGGATCCCATATTTTGACCTTCATCTTTTTACTGGGGAGGGGTCTGGGTGTTAGCCAGCCCCTAGAACTATGTACTCTTATAACTGTATTATACGGGATTTTTCCAATTTTGACCGGGCTAGCTAAGTGGGTTACCGCTCTTGTAAACTCAATTCCTTTTGAAAGTCAAGGGGTCCCTCCCAGACCCCTCCCCAGTAAAAAGATGAAGGTCAAAATATGGGATCCAGGGTGTAAGCCAGCCCCTAGAACTATGTACTCTTATAACTGTATTATAAGGGATTTTTCCAATTTTGACCGGGCTAGCTAAATGGGTTACCGCTCTTGTAAACTCAATTCCTTTTGAAAGTCAAGGGGTCCCTCCCAGACCCCTCCCCAGTAAAAAGATGAAGGTCAAAATATGGGATCCAGGGTGTAAGCCAGCCCCTAGAACTATGTACTCTTATAACTGTATTATACGGGATTTTTCCAATTTTGACCGGGCTAGCTAAGTGGGTTACCGCTCTCGTAAACTCAATTCCTTTTGACAGTCAAGGGGTCTCTCCCAGACCCCTCCCCAGTAAAAAGATGAAGGTCAAAATATGGGATCCAGGGTGTAAACCAGCCCCTAGAACTATGTACTCTTATAACTGTATTATACGGGTTTTTTCCAATTTTGACCGGGCTAGCTAAATGGGTTACCGCTCTCGTAAACTCAATTCCTTTTGACAGTCAAGGGGTCTCTCCCAGACCCCTCCCCTGTAAAATGATGAAGGTCAAAATATGGGATCCAGGGTGTTAGCCAGCTCCTGGTTCAAGGTTTACCTTTTCTATCCATTGTCATCATTTTGGTCTGGCTAGCTACATTGGTTTGGGGTCCTCATTCTTCCTTTTTAAGTGATGTCTTTGATTTGCTTCTTTAACATGTATTATAATGAGTTATTCAAGTTTTTTGAAAAAAAAAATTATTAGGACACTAACGGTAATTTGAATAGGGAACCCGTAGCAGCAACCGATTCGCCATTCGAATAGTCAATAGGGAATAGGGAATAACCTTCTAACTTCTGATTGCCGACCTGGAACGGGTCAGGATCCTTCGTAACTCAATTGCTCATGGACCCAAATCATTTAGCAACGATGAGTTTGAAAAGAAGTGGATAGAATTGAAGGAGGTAACTTTTATTTTTTTCAGCTCCATTGTGGTAAAAAAGCAATTTTCTATTTACTAAACTTTGAAATATATACGTATGCTTTTCCTTGTAACAAGATAAAATGGTAAGTTTATATTTGCAACATTGAATAATAACAATACCATTAATACATGTAATAATAATTCACAAGATAAATGACAATCTGCTACCAGAAAATGACTCTAGATTATTCACGATAACTCAGTACGGAACGAAACTCTAGAAAAACATTCTGAAAGAAGAATTTTATTTCAAGTTATCAGTCTGAGAGAGACTTATCAATTAATAGTTCTTCTTACATAATCTTTATTGTCTTATGTTATTTAAATATTAAAATAACAATAATAATGAATCGAAATTTTCAACAGATGTTGAAGACGTTGGGGGCGTATTATATATCGATCGCTCCCTTTGTTCCATCACTTGTAGTCAAGTTGCCCTGATATTATATAATTTGAGATACATGTACACTGAGACACTGAGAATCGGATTTAACCAAATTGTCACTTGTTTTCAAAGTTGACAGTGGATTCTCTTGCTTGCAGAATAATGTTATCATGTAGAAGGCAGGGCTCATAAAGAAAGGGAATAAATGATAATCTGGCGTTGGGAGCAATAGAATAAGATTATTATTTTAACCAATGGCGAAAATATATATGTGACAGATAAACAGTATTGTGAATCGACGAGGACAATTCAGAGTACATAGAAATTCTTGTAAAAGCATGCGGTAGTTATACAGATTATCAATTACTCAAATTAACATTCCATCGTAAAGATTCCCAGAACATGAATATAATTGTTTAACTAACTCTAGGAATTCTGAATCAGTTTGAAAAGAGAAATTGTTTTTAGGTTTTCAAGACTGTTGACATTATACATGGATTATAAAACGGTCTTTGGCGTTCAGATACGAATTACTATGTGTAGGTGCTCTAAGACTTAAATTGCTTTGCCCCCTCTTTCAATATAAGTCAAAAATTCTCGAAAGGACGTTAAACAAAAAAAAGCTTTACCTTCTGGATTTTCTATGTCCCCCTTTCACAATAGAGTTAAAATCTTTTATGTTTTCGTATTTATTGATATCATAAAAATGTCATAATAATCTCAAATATCGCCTTATTTTTCTAAATTCTTCTACATGTATATTCATAATTGATATAATGAAACCTGCTTAAAATGGAATTTGAATTATTTCTTAAAGATTGAAAAACCATTATTTTATTGCAGTGAATGTAGAATGTTATTAAAAACCTGACGCAATGAAGCGATTCCGTTGAAAAAAAAAATATTTATTTTGGGTCTTATTTTGCTACTCTCTCATTGAATTATTATATGATCGTGGCAACTAATATTATTGATGATCATTTTTCCCCATGGCTTAAAAGATACATGTATCTTTGAGAATATTTTAGGCTCATTCCAGTAGAGAACTTTTGAAATTTGTACCGTTGAACTCCAATACATTCTACCGTCGCAATCTGCAGTAGTGTTTAATACAGTACAGGACAGTTATGCAATCTGCTCGGTATTATTTTCATTTATTCTATCTTGTAAAGAGCTTCAAAACCTTTGACTTTCGATGTGAAAGAACCGGTCGCGGTAGCCTTGTGGTAGGGCGTTCGCTTCATAATCGGGATGTACAAGGTTCGATTCTCGTTCCCGGCGCCGTGTCAAACCTAAGACGTTAACATACGAACTGTGAATGTTCCTTCACCAAGCGTTCGGCATTAGAAGTGAGAATCATTTGTCTTTCGGATATAATCTTTAAAACTGAGGTCTCGAGTCACGATTGGTGTTGGCACGATAAAGAACCCTCAATGCTCAATGACCGTAAATGCCGAGTATAGCTCTAAATTTGAATACCTTCAGCTGCATACGGTGACGTCTCTATATGATAGAAAAAATTCTCGAACTGGACGTAAAACAACATACAATCAATCAATCCGTTGTGAAACTAAGCAGGAAACGGGCACGGAACAATACACTAAGCAAAGACATGCTATCTAACTAAATATTTTTTAATAACCAAATTTATGACGAATCAAATCTTTTTATAATGAATACATGGTTACAAATTACATATAAACCTCATAATTATAGTCACAACTCTTATTGAACTTAGTGCTTAAAATATCATACTTCTCTTTCTAATTCAGTGCATATTAGATTTACAGAAAAAATGAGAATATATGAGAGCGCAATAGAATCAAGGCATTATTGATTTGATTTAAGGTTATAAGAACGATGGCTGGAGGTCAAATGGATAGAGAGGTTAACTCCATACTAAGTAAAGATTTAGATTACTCAGCATGGTCGAATGTTAGGAAAAAAACTGCTAGATTTCACTGAAAAAATTCGAATGGTAGAGGATTGACTAGAGGATCATATTCCAAAAAAAACATACGAGGTGCTTTATTTTAAAACAAAATACTGTCAATACTTATTTTCTTAGGGATTTAATTTTCGTTGCTTTCTTGGTATGAGGAGAAGAAATTATTTACGCCATCCAGGAAATGTAAAATTTCAAATGTATAACGACTCAACACTTTGTTAACAATGAAATCAAATTCTTTTTTTTCCTCAAACGAAAATTTTACATAACGCAAATACACTGTACGTGTTTTTACAGAATAAGCAGTATGAACATTGTATTACATATCATTATTGACAAAATGTCCATAAATGTCTACATATAACCAACATATACTTTTTTACTTTTTGATTGCTAGTTTTGCTTTGTAGAAGTATTTTTGGATCATATTCGAACATGAGTAGGTAAATATATATAACTTACTGTGTTGCTTTTGTATTGCTTTCCTCAGAACAACATCATAAAGAATTACAGAAGTGAAGAGAAGTTGACAAACTCTTCTAGAGAATTCCTGCTTGCGAATCAATCTGTGAAAAACTTACATCCTCGCGTTACGTGACAGCAATTGGCAGTCCTGGTAGGGGAAAAACGTTCCTTATAGGTCACATTGCCCTCGAGCTCGAACAGGAGGGATTTGAGATACTTCCAGTCTCATCAATTGAACAGATCATTCAGTATGGTAAACTGAATGTTAAGCAACTATTCATAGTAGATGATGAGTTAGGTGTATATGGTCTAGAGATGAGTTTATATCACAATCTTAGTAGACAGACAGAAATCGTTTTCAGCTTACTAGAATCAGGATCAAAACTACTGATGAGTTGTAGGTCTATTGTGTTTAATGAGTCCAATCCACTGTATAGTTTCGTTACAAATGATAATCATGCCATTAATTAAGATGACAAAAGCAATGACCTTAATGATGAAGACGTGAAAAACATGCTACAGAATCACTATCAAGATAAAAAAGTAAGGGATGTATGCTTTGAAAAATTAAAGTTACGTAGCAAATTATTAATGTTTCCCCTACTGTGTAGATTATTCTCATCCGTTAAAAAATATCAGGCAGTGGGGGAAAACCCTTTTCTCTATCCGTACCAGTGTATGTTTTCTTAACTTGATAACATGCAAAAGATTAACAAAGTGCAATTTGAAGGCTTGGTGTACTGTGTCATCAAAAACAATCGTGCTTGTTCAAAAACTTTAGATTGGAAAGGTCTGGAAAACGTTTTTGACAGCTGAAGATTGAGCAGATCTACTTCTATTTTGGAACTCAGAGATGCATTGGATGTATTGAAGGGGTTGTATTTAATGGAGAACACAGACAATAGATATTCCTTCATTCATGACACTTTGTTTTAAATTGCTACAGTTCACTTTGGAAGACATTCTCAAGACTGTCTTATTAAACATTGCACATCCAACCTTATTTACCAACTTTTACGTATCCCTATCAGGACGGTTAACTTTCCTGTATTGATAGAACGTATCATTGACGAGATACGCATTTAAACTTTTACCAAATATTTAGCAAAAGTGAATACTTGAATACCTTGAACAACATGGCGCTGATGTAAATCAAGGTCTCTGTGGTTACCTAATAATGTCTCCTATATGTTGTGCCTCAAGTCAAGGCTATTTGGAGATAGTAAAGTATTTGATAAGGAGTGGAGCTGGCGTCAATTGTTGTGACATAAACGGAAAGTCTTCATTTGATTATGCATTAGCTAATGGGCATCAAGATATATATATCGTTAAATGTCTGAAAAACGAGTATAAAACTAAGTGAAATTTGGTGGAAGCTTTTTATCTGTTGACTGTTTTAATGGATATTATTATTTAATTGTATCTTTTCACAAAGGACAATATCAATAGAAATGAGGGCTTTTGTGATCCTCCTCTTCATGTGCTGCCAGTTCAGGTCATCTTGATATTGTTCAATATCTAGTAGTACATATAGTAAAAAAAACTACTCATTATTGTCTCAGAAGGAATGGTTACCTTTTTTAATACATTTTATTAAAAGGTGCCTTGTAAATTAGGGTCTTGAAATTGATATTGAATCGGCCAGCAAGACAAATGTTTGAATATTTGTACTAGAATGTTTGAGTTATTAGATTGAAATATGGAGATAATTTTATTTATGTTAAACTGAATATTTTTTTTAATTGCAGATATGTAGATGTTCGGATATGTTTTTTTTTTTAAAATTTCATGGCACAATGTTTTAATACCATATGTTTATTGTACCCAAAGACATAATTCTTAATAAATTAAGTAAAGTGTTCTTCGACAACGTAATCGTACTGCATCGTTAAAAACTATATAAATTTCATCGAATAAATTATTTTTTTTTTTTTGCATTGTAAAAATTAGATCTGATTTCAAACATCAAAACATTCAATAATGTGTGCAAATAAATACTAAAAAATCAATTTTGTTTTCTTTATCTAAATTACGTCCATTAAGATCATAAGGGTGTTATCGTTATTTCAGTAATTTCTAAGAGAGAGAGAGAGAGAGAGAGAGAGAGAGAGAGAGAGAGAGAGAGAGAGAATATGTTGCTTCTATCTCTTCTCTATTAGCATAAATCTTTCCGAACTCATCATATTTTCTTGACATAAAGAATGTATGTTTTTGACAACGCTCGGGAAACATCTCAAAAAGCGCTCCCTGAAGATTCACGTACACAGTTTTATACAAAGCTTGATATATTATGATGGCTGGTTTGCTGATTTTGGTACCAAGGAGACGACCTTACGCACGCGCAGTCCTAGATACCCACAATGAGGCCCAAAACTCAATTTACAGTCCACCGGGTACTTCAAATTGCCTTTTGACTGTCTTCGAAGATGTGCTTCTAAATATCATCTTGCATTTGGAAAATATCATCTCTTTATAAGCAATTGCCATTATTTATCGAATGGAATGATGCATATATTGTGTCATGAATTTACTTGTCCTGTATTGTGCTTGTGACTGGTCAAAATATTATCCGAATTAAACTTAGAAAGAAGTACTTTATTTATGTTTTTTTCTTTTTTAAGAACATCTTAAATTAAAAAAAAGGTGATGCTATAAAATAACGCTTAAGGGAGCCGACTGGGGTTTTATTGTGTGAAAACTACTAAAGAGAAACTCTTTAATTTTATACCATATGTACCTTACATTAACTTCAGTACACATGCCAAGTTTAGTGAAAATCTACCGTCTGGTTATATTCTAGGGACCATCTCAAAATACAGGGGCATTTACTATAGGATTATATAGGAAAATACCATTTTTTCGCACTTCGGAGCAAATTATACAAATGCTACTTTAGGCTTTTTGCTCAAATTATATTATTTGATAGGTAATACTATATTGTACATTTTATGCAAGAAACACAAAATTCTACCGTCTTGTTTCCAGAGGGGACATCTCAAAATGTCAAAATTCATGATATTTTCCTGTTTTTTGGAGTACAACAAAACATGACAAATACCACAGATTTACATAAAAAATAATCAAAATGATTGTGAGATTCTCGATTTCCTATATTTAAAATTTCAAGAGCCTATATTTTATACTTTTTATTTTATGGTATAATTAATGACCCCGCTTAAAGAACTTCAGTTATTCATTACATCAAAAACACACTATTACGACGTCTATCTACCCATCATTTGAAAAATCGTTAAAAAATCGGTTATTTAAAAACGTAATTAGATTTTTTAACCTGGGATTTCCTAAAATTGTTAATTTTTTATAAATTATGTAAAAATAGTTGCTTTAAAATAGTAAATACGCTTTATTTTACTATGCTGCGCGAAGTATTGCGCAATGAAAACCCCAGTCGGCCCCCTTAATTTCAGAAATGTATATGAGTAGTTTAATAGTAACGAATATTCGAAACGTATGGTGATGAAACCTTCTATCAATGTACTTGTGAAACAGCAGTCCATTTATTTTTTTTACTCCAGACTCAAAACATGTGATTGTCTTACACTTTAACAAAACAAGGATATATTTACATTAATTTTTCTGTAAATTACGCCTAAAAACACTTTGCTTAACATATTTAAAATGTTATGAATTTAAATAACATGTATAAAGTTTTGAAAATAAGATAAAAGATTCATCACAATTCATGAAAATGACACAGTTCTCTCCTATAGTGGGCCTTGGCAGAGACACATTCACCTTGTTCAACTTGTACATGCCAGTTACGTTCTACAAGATTTACCTTTTCTGCAACATCTAACTAATCAGTCATGGTATTTTTGAACAGCCCTTTAAATAATTTTCAAAGCAAGGAACACATAAGCAGGTTCATAAGATAAACATGTTTATCAACATAATAAAGTTTTAAGGTAGGAATAAAAAGTAACCTTGAGAATATAATTTGTTTATGAAGAAGGATGTTTATGGAATTTTGATATGGGCTTGGTGTACATGAATGCACGAATAAAAACAATACTAGGCGACGGGAAATCCAGTAATTCATCCTACATATAGGCTATATGTAAATGGACGATCACAGGTTATGTGTTATGCACAGTGACTTGTTTAGACACTTGAAACATTCTTGGAATGCTAGACACTAATATTTAAAAAAGTTGACTAGGTTAGAAACAGCTAAGTCACTTATTTAAGTGGGGTGGCATTTTTGTTGATAAAGAAAATGATTCGTTGGGTTACAGAACGTAAATGATACTGTAGTTTGAAAATCTAACATAGATGTATGTTGGAGCCATGAATTCGCGAGTCTTCTTCGTAAAAAATATCGAAAATTAACCTCATCGAAATTTAATGATTTCACAGTAAAGAAACGGTTAGGTTTACTTAAAAACGGTTTCTCTGAAGATACTTATAAAAACTAACTTATTAACAAATTAATAAAATCAAACCAACCTAGGTGCTGTTTTATTAGTTAAAATGCACGTTGACAAAAACACTTGTACACAACTTTTTTCACATGCAGTGTAATACAAGAACAAATACTAGCTGAATGTTAAAATATGTTCAAAACTCTTTATCAAGACATGTAAAATGTGAAAATATACACATTTAACCTATTTTATATTTTCGTAATTAAACTATCAAGATACTGAATCCCCTTTCTGTCAGTTTTGCACTGTATAAGTGAATCTCTGTATAAAGTAGAATGCACAAATCGTGTCAGGAATAGGGGAAAATGTTTTTTGTTTTGAAAATATTTCATCGACTTCGAAAGGATTGGACACAAGTTCCAAAAATTTAGATAGCCCCACCCACCCACACACATACAACACAAAGTTATATGTTTAACCGCTAAAAGAATGATACAAAAATACGCTGATTATAGACTTGAAATATTATATAAAGATTCATTGTGTGGTTAAGTCATGTTAAAATTGCACATGTACGGTTATTAAGCTGGTTTAGTGAAGCGCCCAATGAACAATACTGTTCCGGTAGAATTTTCCCTATTGAGGAACAAGAAGGGGTGGTTCGCCTTAAAGACCATTGGCCGCGGTGGCATGCACCTCGCTCTAATCATAACAGCCGTAGCTGCTGCCGCCTCCGTACCTTCTTCGTTAACTTCAACGAATGCTTTGTGAATTATATCAGATACAAAAGTGCCCTCTGGCGGATTATCGATCATGGCGCTGAAGTTCGCTTTGTCGGAGAAAATGTCGGTGATATCCATTCCGGCAAGAACTTTATCTAATTGAAACGAACTCTCCAGTTTAAATTTTGGAATAGAGACAATTACATCCTCCCGGGAATTTTTCTTTGTAAGTTCATGGAGAGTTTCCGAAGAGAGATTTGATTCCAATTTGGACAGCCCGTCTAGTTTATTTGGAAGAACTATGAGCATGCTCAGTTCCTTTCCTTTGTAAGGAAGATTTAACACTTTGCAGTCTAACGATTCAGAAACACTGAATAGCCATTCCTTCTTCTCCATATGCATCATATCAACCATTTCGGACTTTGTCTCGGAAATGTGAAATTTTTCACGTTTTGTTTCTAATGACTTGAATGCATTTTCCCAATCGCCTTTGAAGTAGATTGCATTTGTCAGGACAATCATAGACAGAGCATTAATCCCCCCTGCCGGAATCAGATCCTTGATTTTATTATTAGTGTGTTCTTCAACCCACGTGTTTATTCTATTTCTTGACCCTTCCGGATTTCCTACAAAATCTAACAGTTCCATATCACTGCTATAATATTCTAACGATTCCTTCTTTTAAGATTCTCTGAAATCCAGTCCGATTTTAGAAAATATTCGGTTTGCAATGGCAAGTTTGGCCCCTTCTTTAGATTTTCCAGTCAGAGTAGAATGTAGTTCCTTGTACGCTTTGTGTGGATCAGGAATTCCGGAGACACCCCAAACCTGTTTAACTTGAGCCTCAGATTCCCCTTTGTTGCCCAGCATAGTCAACATTAAGGCGGCCGACACGCTGTACGGAGACAGGAACAAATTGTCATTCCCTTCGGACAAAACTTTATAAAGCCTAAAAGAAAAGTCTTTTACGGCACCTTCCATTCTTAATTAATTTACCAAACGAAGTAATGTTGAGAAATCTTACACAGTACAGTACCGACCAGACACAACCTAACAGAAAGCGAACCCAGAGCGCACCCCGTGTTCGCGCTCTGGGTTCGCTTCGGGTTCGCTTGGGGTCCGCTAGTGCTGACCCCGAGCGAACCCGGAGCACACCCGTAGCGAACCCAGAGCGGACTCACAGCGAACACAGAAAGCGAACCACAAATTCAGTAACGGTGTTGCGTAACAGAGCTGTCAATCAGGATTAGCGATTA